TTAAGGCCTGTTCTGTGCTTTTTAATAGTGAGTAGTTGGAGGAAAGCTGAACAAATGTTCCACTAGATCTTTTTATTATATTTTGGTTTTCATAAAGAGTATTTTGTCATGGTAAAAGTATTTGCAATGTGTTTAAGTGGCTTTGAACTAGATGGTCTACTAGTCTGTAGTTGTCTGTGCTCTGGAAGTGTAGATATTATTGACTTATCAGGGGTGCATATCAGTTCCCAGCTGACTAGGTGACTGTTCAGTGCTAGAAGTTTCTAAGCAAAGTGGCAAGGTGGTCTGGAGTAGACATCTTAAACAAGCAGAATGCTGTGAGAAGCTGGGTATAACTCCGCCCCCTCTTTCTCTCAGGTCGTTGTCACATGTGCCTTGCTTCTCTTATTGGTTGGTGTCGCTGTGGCAACAAGAGGTGAGCTCACAGCGCGCATGCTGGCAGTGTGCGAAAGAGGGTGTTTGTATGCATGTGTGTACACGTGTGTACATGAGCGTATATGCATCTCAGTTAGTTCTTGATTCTGTATGAATGAGCCTGTGCAAAATGAGTGTGTGAGAGAATGATGGTGTGCGTGTTTATGTGGGTCTGAGATCACGCATGCGTAAAACAGCCATGTGTGTCACTCGCCCCTTCAACGTGTGTTACACAACGCCCCAGTGCTCCATCTCCCTTTGGTCAAATCTTGATTCATCACACTCGGGTGATGCAAAGTGTTTTTCCATTTGATGTGATGCTCTCTAAGTCTCAAAGCATAAAAGAAGAAGAACACTGCAGGCAATTTAGTATCATACATACTATATATATATATATATATATATATATAGAAATTCACACTTTATAGGACAGTAGCATAATTTTGTGTTTGGACAGCTTAGTGATATTGAAATTTTTGTACCTCAGCTGAACATTGATTTAATTGCATAAAGGAAATGGGAAAACGGTCTTGCAGGATTTCTGGTTATGCACTCATCTAAATGATCAAACCTTCCCCTTCCTCAGATATCTGATAGTTCAGCCTTTAGCCCTGTTCTTTTCAATGTTAGTATTAATTACATTCCCTGGAAGCACCTCTTAGAAAGAGATAGATGCAGCTCATGGTAAGAGCTTTAAATTGGCTCAATACACTCAACACATACTGAGCAGGTGAGCAAACCTTGCAAAGACTTGATGAATGATTTAGCTCTTTTTAAGTGCTTACCCTGTTCCAACCTAAATATCTGTCACTCTATTACACTGGCTCTGCGTTGTGATAATCATTAATATATAGCTGCAGTCCTGTAATCAGAACGTTGCTCTGAAACACAAATACTTTCGACAGTACAGAAGCGAGGCTGCGTGAATGTGTTAGCGGTGGATTTATAGTGTTCAAGTGAAGCTGGCTGGCTGACTGTCCATTTGAATTCTGCAGCAGTCTGCTGAATTCAGATTATGCAAATGCCCTCATGTTATAAATAAATTACTATAATTGCATTGAAATACCCTTCAAACTTGTCAGATGAAAGAGTCTAAATAATGCATTTCATGCCAATGAATTATTTAGCTGTATTAATTACAAATAACCGGCAGCAGGGCATAGGCTTGTTTTTTTTTAAAAGGTAATACAACCTATTTCTGTGTGACAAAAAATATTCTCTAGTACAAGCTGACTTACGTGGGTTACACATATAAAATATTGCTATTTCAGTTTTCACTGATTAAAATGCAACCTCACAAAATGCCTAATTACCTGTGGTGGTAAATTTAGGTGGAACAGAATTAACAAGAGCAGATTTAAGAGATGAAAAGGCTGTCAAATATGGTGTGAACTGGCTTTATGCTGGTTTGTGAATGGGTTCCGTATGCAAACGCACAAGGCCGCAATTAAATGATTTAAGGGCCTGCACCTGTCACGTCATACACTGAAAACGGCAAGTTTTTCACGTCACTGTGCTTACATTAGAATCACTGGATTTTATGCAGATTTGATGAGCGCTGTCTCATGCATATATGCGGAGCGGCAGGGGTGGGGGTACCCAGAGCTGCCCGCTTAATATCCTTATTAGAAGGATGGGGGATTAAAAATTGATGGTGGAGGTAAGGGCAAGCAGAGGGTGCCCCTCGATCTGCCCATGATCTGGGGCAGAGGAGAAGGCTGGGGTTGCCTCAGTACAGCAGCACTGCTTCCTTCAAGGTGCCACCATCTTAAAGGGCTTAGGCAGTGGTGAGCATGCGGAAGAGGGTAGACCTAAAATGTCCGCTGGCGCGGCCTCGCGTTACAATTACAAAATTAGCTGCCATTGCATGATGCTGTGCATGCCGAGCAGCTCATTTGCATGCACAGACTGGCCCCCCCCTCCATTACTGTCAGCTACATATGCGAATGGCTCATGGTGAGCAGCGGCCGCACCTTATCCTGTGCAACACCCGCGCCATCCTCTAACACAGGGTGGAATCCAATGCGTTTTATCGCAACTCCGTATTCATCTACGGCTCCATGAGATCTCTGGAAATTCTGAATGAATATTTATTCGTCCTGTGCCGAGCCCTGGCCTGTGGCTAGGACCTGGGTAAGCCATTACATCTATATTCAAATCCACGCGTCTCTAATCTGACTTATGCTAAAGATGATGATGGCATGCCTGTATCGCTAATAGATGGCGGTTGCTGCCAGATAATGCTAGGCGCTTTGTTGACACTGACTCTAAAAGCAGACAAAACAGCCTTAACCCACTGAACCCTAAACATACTTTTTATTTGGTTATTTATCTTTATAACCAATTTTCCAAATTAAATCGTTAAAATTTGGTAACTACTATGAATTATTTGGTAATTAAGCCAAATTATATGCAAATAATATGCAAGTTATGTAGTTATGAGAGTAAGGAACTCAAGACTAGGCCCAGTCTGGAAGGAACCCAAGTCTGGGTTCCTTTTTTTATGGTGTTTTCTGGCAATACATTTTGAAGCCCAGTCACCAATTTAATTTTTGTGTCTCAGTCCTGTTGCTCTTTCTCTCCAGCTTAGGCCATCAGAAGCCAAGAAGCCCCTCGCTCCCCGCCCCCGGCCCCATCCACTCCAGTGTCTTAATTATTTCAGAGGTGTCTGCTTAGAACAGGGGAACGTGGCGAGCGCCAGTGCCATTTGCATTTCGCTTTCATCTTCACAAGCCCTCGTGGCACCGCTGTGGCAAGTGTGCACGAAATGAGCCCTAATGCACGGCTCCCGCATCAACTCATGCACATGCTTCTACAAAATGCAGATTAGTGCATACATGCGCACTCATATTCAATTGTGAGCGTATATGCAGGCATACAATAGTGGCCATGCATGCACCGAGAGCATCCCTAAGTGGAGTTAGGTGGCAAAAAGGAAGATAAAAAAAGGAAAAAAGGATAGGCGCATATCTCCTATGCATGGTGATGTAAAGACCAAGGCCAGGCACTATTGTAGCTCGCCCAGGTAATTGCCAGGGGTGAATGGGAGCAGGGAAGTGCAGACAAAGCATGGGCTTCATTTTCTGCTTCTTTTCCTGGAATGTGCACTGCGTGGTTTTACCACCAGCGCCCACTCCTACAGTCATGCAGTAATGGGCTTCTTTGGAGGCCTCTGAATTCAGCATTGAAGGGAGCTTTGGAGAAGACAAGGTCTTACATGGGGAAGTGGCAGTGAGGCATGGACACATTGGCTGGACAGCTCCAGTACATGCTATCTAGACCAAATGGGCTAGTGTAATTCACCTTTAGACAGAGACGGGCTTTTGATCGCATGGGCTGCTGCAGGTGGTGATCAGTAATGATGTTAACCCCTTAAACTCTAAGGATCCATCTGTGGGCCCACACTTCAGCTTCTCATTGTATTGACCACATAACTTGCATATTAGTGCTACAGTCATTATCAAATAAATCACTGTAGTTACTGAATCTTATGATTAGTAATTGAATAACCCTGCAGTTTAAGGGGTTAATAATGACACTAGCCATGTGTCTGTTCACATGTATAGCTGAAACAGTTTGCTATAATCAGTCAGGTGCAAGAGCACAAGGATGTGTACGTCTCCCAAGAAACCCTATATGCTTGCAACACCTACGTATGTTTGTACAATTCGACGTTTATCTTCAAATGCACTCTCCTGTTAGCTGTGAGGGTTGGCGTGCATGCGTGTAAATATCCTCCTGACTACATCTTGTGGTCGCACCCCCAGGATGTCTGAATAGTGTTAATTAGTGTGAAAGTGTGCTACCCGGGTGTTTGCAAAACTCCCTGCCTCCCCCTCTCACACACACCCACACGTACCCACTCTCTCTCTCACTCACTCATACACACCTTATGTGTGGAACCCCCCAGACACAGAGATGAGAAGAGTGTAATTAAATTCCTGCATGTGTTAAGTCAGACCTGTCAGTGGCTAATAAAGGCAGATGAGGGAGTCTCCTGCGCTTGGCACGTCAAGGAAATAAGACGACAGGGCACGGAGGGTGGCCAAAGGAGAACTGACCAGATACATAATCGCACATACAGCCCGCCACAATTATTTTCACATTTTCTGAATAGAATACGCATGCGAGTTTAGTGTAGTCTGGTCAGTTTTGTGTTGTGCAGACTGGCTAAAATTGTAAAGTGCTCTAATTTAGGTAGCTGTTCCATTTCTGTAATGCAAGATTTTGTTTCATTGTCCAGCACAGGTATATTTCTTTACCACTGTACAATTTTTTAAAAATTGTTTGCATTGTGATACAGATTTCATGATGAAGGGACCAATAAAAATGGTCCACAATTACTTGAAATAAAGTATCATTATATTAACCCACTTTAAAGTTAAGCACTTCTTTGCTTCTCCTATAAAGTTCTAACACACAATAACATTTACAAGGTTTTGTTACAACAGCAACAATATGAAAGGGGCATTTCACTGTCCGATGCATTAGCATATACAAGGTTCACTGCACTGTCCAACTGGTACACAAGGTTTTTCTCCCTAGACATCTGTGATAACTCAACTATATTTTGAGTGCATATGAAATGGTCACTAAGTGCTTTTGTTTGTATCTGGTCATGATCCATGTACTGCATTCATGTGCTTTGGGCACCAATGCGTGCCTGTATGTGAATGTGTGAATGTGTATTGTGCAGCTCTCGTTTTTCATCCAGCAGACGAGATGCAGACTGTCAGTGGGGAATCATACCTGGTTCCATGCTAGAGCAGTCGCCCCTCATACAGCCTAGTAGCTGCTGATTGTCAGGGTGGGCTGCTGGCAGGGAGACGCAATAACTCGAGACACCCCGGCTGTGGAACCGTGGCGGGGGATGGGTGGTCTCACAGGCTGCCAACACCGTGAGCAATTTGCCCAGAAAAACACATCCTGCAGGCTAGACAAACACATGGACCTGCTTAGCTGCTTCGGTACCAGTGCTGTTCCCCTCATCATTTTGCAGGGGAACTGTCACTGCTTTTTTCCAGAAACTGGGGCTCAGCATCATCCAATTATAAGCAGAGACAGGAAATATGTCATGAGAGAGGAAGTGCATCGTAGCTGTTGTGACTAATGTGAGGACCGCTTCTGTGAATATAGTCAGGTCCGGCGTAAACAATGGTGCCAGACTCACTCTCTCTGTCTGTTTGACGTCATTGAGTAAAACCCTTCAATTTATTTGGGGCTTTATTGGTAAACAGTTATTCTATCAACAGTTCCTTATAAGAAGCAAGAATAAAAATGAACCCGTTTGTCTCTTTTGTCACATGCAAAATAAATAAAACTGCTGTTTTTGTCTGCATGAACGAATTTTATTAAACCTACTGTGCTATTCATAATTTGTCCTTGTGACCTTTTATTATTGATAACAAATTTCAGAAGTCTGTGTACTTTAGGCTAAGAACAGTAACACTTGTTACTGTTGACAATGTTACTACTAGACAAGGTGAAATTAAATGTACAGGTGAGATACTGTGTTTATTAAGATGCTATTATACAGTAATGAATGTGTTATAAGCAACCATGCCTAACAAAAGAGCTGTAGTATTTTCTTTTGAACAGACTTTTTTTTATCTATTTTCTCATGTAAAAGTAACTAAATAAGTACTAACAACTAAAATGGCTTCATGTCAGTCCATTGTCCACTGGCAAGCAGAATTGAACAAGTTTAACCAGTGCCTAGCCGGGCACTGTAGCTTAATAAAACTTGACATCTGTCATTCTTCCTTTGACATCTGCTAGGAGAAAGCCAGCATCACATGGACATAGCCTGCACTATTTTTGAGCCTGTTTCGCTATAGAAGCATGCTATGATGACAAGCATTAAAAAGTCATACACTACAGGTTTAAATAGTGTAGGTTTTGGAAGAGGTTACCAAGGGTGGCCATTAGGTAGCGCAAAAATGTATGACTGCTAAGAACCGCTAAATATTTCCATATTAAAGCCACTTTAATTCAGTACAGGAAAAAAAAAAACTTGGTATATTTGCAAACACAGATAAACCAAATGCCCACTGGCTATGAGTGTACCTCAAACCAGATCTGTTTCTTATCATGTTTTCTTTGCTAAATCTTGCACTCAAGACACTCCAAACATAAACATGCAATCAAGGACATCTCAAGTCAAAAGTTAGTGTTATAGGGTTGAATTCTTCTGTAATACTGTAATATATTTCAGGTTACTTTTGCCTATCACACACAACTAATCAAAGAAATACACCCTTAGAAATATATACCTAAAAAAATGATGCCATAAAAGAACAACCACTTTTGTGAACGTGAGTGCAAGTTTAAAGAACGTCTACATAATATAAAGGTTCCATATCAATTACAATTTTAACTAAATCCGTATATCCAGGCGAATAATCATTTAGGAATCTTTATTTTGAAGGGTGTTTGATGAAAAATGCATTTAAGAGGATAGCATTGTATGGAGTGTTTGTGCGTGCGTGCGTGTATGCGTGTGTGTGTGGGTCTTGGTTGATGACTCCAGAGAATGCACAGCTGTAGAGCTCTAGGGAACCATCAGCCAATAATATATTTGGAGGTGACAGCCACGCAACCATAGCTGACATCTCTCTACACATATATAGTATATTTGAAATTGAAATAGTTTGAACTTCAGAACTTCAAACTTGGACCTGTGCACACATTTAGAATGCAAGCTGCACCATCTGAAGTGTTTTACTTTCTCAGTTTTTCCTTCATCAGTTGTGAAAACCTATAAGGATCATCCAAAACCAGAAACATTTGGTTATAGCTTTGAAATGCAAAATATTTATGAACTCTATTTTTCCCTTACATTGCAGGACCTGGGAAATATGACCATAACTTACCACTAGAAGAGAGAGGAGGCAGAATGGAGCTGGCTACTTTATCTTCCAATAAAACAAGCATAAGGTGAGTTCAATAAAAAATAGATAAGAAAAAATATAAATGATAACAACAAGCCAACACCCGGTGGTAACGAGTCCTTCCCAAATGAACTATGTAGGGGCTTTTTGTTTGTTATGTTTATCCTCTAATAACCCTACCCTGAGAATTCTGCCAAAAGATTGTTACTTACACTGCCTAAGACTTTAAATTTGACAAAAATATCTAAAAATGACTATCATGTATGTTTGAATAATCTTGTTGGAGAGATTACACTCTATTTCGTTGTCTATTATAACAATGTGCTTATAGGACTGCTTTTTCTCCAGGCCAAAGACATCAATTCCAGTCCAATTTTATAAAGTTGCCATATAAAATGATGTCAAAGGTCTGCTATTTGTTTATGTCAACAATTTGATGTTAATTAACGCACATATTCAGGGCATTAACTTTGACAATATTTAAAACTATGCCTGCTCTTGTTTTTACAAAACAACTGAATAAGTGTAGCCAACTGTTCTGTTATCCAACCTCCAAAACGTACATTTACAAAAGAAACTAAAGATCATTCAGATACTAATGTGAATTACTGCGCAAGATCTCCTTTGTGGGAGTCTGTTTTTGATACAAGCATGCGACGAAAAAGAAATCTTAATTTAGAATCAAATTGCACGACATGCATTCAAAACATCACACTGATTCTCCTGACATATGATAAATGTCATTGTATTATAGAGCACTCTAGTATTTAGATTTCCTCTACATTTCTGCAATGAAGTTGATTGCATTTTATTTCTAAGACTGTATGAATGAATGTAACATTGAGTATAACCTTGTATGCAATGTTACTCTGAAGAGCTGAAAGAGCTTGGGGTTCAGTAGGCAATACTTGATGTTAATTACTAACGCTGCTTGTCAGACATGTGCTCTTAAAAGCCAATTAAAGAGAAAATGTAAAATTCAGTCAAGCTCTGAAAACCACAAGCCCTCCTGCCTGGAGACTGGGTTATGTTTTTAGAGTAGAGGTCAGCTCTTGTTCAAATAAAAGTTTAAAGATGTAACACTGTCCAAATGTACTCTTTTTAAAATGAGGAATTAAGAATTTCAATATGGTGATAAGAGAAACATCCTTACATATATTACTATAGACTGTGGTCTAACCCGCATAAATGTTATGTATTTGTTCATGTCAGTGAATGTGTAGATATTCTTACCATTCCAGTTCGAAATTCAATCAGCTCTCTCACACGTAGTGGTAAAGACTATTATTAGCCTTTCTCTAATCATTTCAAACCCATCCTATTAGGAGCACTCGCACACCTCACATGCGCATTTTCCAAATTCAGCTTGCTACTACTAGCATGCATGCTCTCAGCTCACTATCATCACCCCACTCTAGTCTATCGGCCATGTGCAGCCTCAGCCCTGGCTGCTTTTATGCATAACGCGGCTCCTTCCCTTCACGCACCTTGCTGGGGTGTGATTAGCATTAGCCCCGAGGAGCTAATGAAGGCCCATGCCTGTACTTGCGTGATTACAGTGAGCCATGGGTGCAGGAAAAGCGCCCACGAGGACAATAGATTCCAGCGTGCCACATGTCTGCCCACGCCCAAGCCAGAGAGGGCTTTAGACACTTCTGGTTTTCATGGCGTATGGTCTCAAATGATTTTAAAAAGCTAACAGTCCCTACAATGCATGTCGCATTGAGATATTATAATTAGCATTTCAATGGGGTGAATATAATACTGTGTAAAACATACCCATAAATTTCTTTCTGGTGTTTTGTATAAATGATTTAAATTTCATTGGTAATATCAATTTTTCATATTCAGTGAATAATTTCACATTTCATGCCTGGTTTCAGCTCTGCCCCAGTCCACCCTCTCAAACACAGCATATTTGTCCTCCTTGCTTATTTCTGGAACATTTAAAAGGCTTTTCCTAATCAGCGTTTGATCCTTTTTCATGTTTCCATTTTTTCTTCTTCGGAAAAAAGAAAAAAAGAAAGATCTAGATGAGATCTATAATTAAAGATGATGGAGCAACATCGCATTCATTAAATATCCAAGTAGCAGTGTTCTGCGGGGTGTGTAACAACGCCGTGCAGTGCGAGTTTAACCCGCATCATCATTTTATACTGAGAACAAAGGCTGTGCACATAACAAAATGCATGCAAATGTATGCAAATCGCCAGCAGCTAGAGGGAAGGAGTGGAGGAGGTGAGGCTGGGGAAGACGCGAAGGAGAAGGGAGGCGTAAGGCAAAGGGGTTCGCTGTTTACCTTTTGCAAAGCGGTCATTTCCATTGCCGTGGCGCTTTTAAATATCCTCACCTGCATATGCTGGAGATGAAGTTGAAAGGCTCTAAGAGGTCATGTTAATTTCACCTGCTTTGCATCGGCCACTCCCACCTCTCCCTATGCGAGCCACTAGCATGCTAATATTCCTGTGGTCGGCTGCGATGGTCGTTGCCTAAGATAATGCAAAAGCCGTGGCACCTGAGAATCACACTCTGCAATCATCTCATGTCACCTTCCTCCATTTCCTCTTTCTTTCCAGAATTTCAGACAAACAGGAGTACCACTCTAAATACACTCTTAAAAATAAAGGCTCCTAAATGGTTCTTGGCTTGGACATACAGTTCTAGGAAAAAACCTTTATTTGGCCATGAAACTTTACATTCTGTGAAGGAAATTTAAACTTTACAAAGGTTCTTCACATTCATTTAAAAGAATGGTCAAAGGACCTATTTAAAGACTCTAAACATTTTAGGGAATTAAAAGAGGATTTTCTATGGAGTTCCAAAAAATCTTTTTGGGCCTTTTTTTAAATTATAGTTTAAAAAGGTAGTTTATAGGAGGTATAGTTTATAATAGTAACTGTGAAATGACATTAAAATAACTGCATGATAAAAGCCCTGAAACCTGAGTATGATGCTGTGAAGGGATTGGTTCATACATTTACCAAATGTATTTGCAAATCCTGTTGTGAGCTACAAGAGTCAGAACTGCAGAAAAGTAATAGCACATGAACACTTATACATGAAGCATGTCTCTTTATATGTACGCTAATAAACCCAAATAAGCAGCACTGGACCTCATGACCTCCCTGCCTGAGGAACTATATCAAAATGACCACTGATAGTACTTGTGTTAGATTGAGGTTTTTATGGAGGTGTAGCTTAACTAATAGGTAAACACTAGTGGGCAAATATGAGCATCTGTGACATCTGGAACAAAAAATTATACAATCTCATTGTCTTAGATGTTCACTTTTTGTGGTGCAACTGCAGTGCATTGTTATATGCATGTGTGTATGTGTGTTTGGGACTTCTTCCATATCCAGAAAGATCAGTGATTTGTGTGCAGCAGCACATGAAAGCCTGTTAAAATAATGCCCTTCCCCAGACAGAAGGCACAATGCTACATTTGAGATGTGTGGGGGGCACACGCACGCACGCAGACACACACGCACACGCACACACACACACACAAGCTCTCATCTGGGCCTCTCCTCAGACAATATATAGTGCGAGAAAGAGGGGGCTGGGGGTGTGAAAGCATAGACAGACACTTACAATAATGCATAATGATGTTAACATTCCTGCATGTCTAATAGAGCAGGATTCGACCACAGAGATGCTCCAGATAGACGTGTGTGTGTGTGTGTGTGTGTGTGTGAGTGAGAGGAGAGAGAGAGAGAGAGAGAGAGAGAGAGAGAGAAAGAGAGAGAGAGGGAGAGAGAGAGAGAGAAGGGGAGGGGGTTAAGATGATAAATTAATTCATGCTTCTTAGCTGTGGCTGTATTTGAATGTGATCATTCAGACTGAAAGCACAAACGTCTGAGACACACTCTTCAGCTTCATAGTGGAAAGAGCATATGGAAGCATAAAGAAATGGTCAGTTAGAAAAACTGACCCAAAATCACGAAATCTCTCTCATTCAGCGTTTTTGTCAGTGTTTTCTTTAGCATTAAGCAGCAAGGGGAAGAGCCTGCAATTTTGTTTTTATGCATTTTCAGGACAAAAAAGAAACGCAGGAAAAGCAGAACTACATGTATTTTTATTACATTATTACATTTAGGTAGTTTCATTTACATATTTATATGAACTTAAATCTTGAACTTGAAACATAACTTACACATTACCTTCATAACAGCTGCTGAGCAATTGATACCAGTTACTGTAAAATATGCCTTAAGATGAGTAACTGAATAATAAGTCTGGAGTTTAGGGGGTTAACACCTGCAATGTGGAATTAACACTTAATTAGCAGCCGGAAATGAAAAAACACTGTAAGAGTGAATTCAACACTGCAGATTTAACTGTGCATTAGTGTGCGAGTACAGAGACAATATGAAAACGCACCTTTCTCCACTCTTGCACATGCATATAGGAAATAAATGGTGCCTGCCAGGCAGTGGTGGCCCTACCCCAATTTCAGTCCCTCCCTCATTCGCCCCTGCATCATCTCTGCCTATCGTTCTAATTGGGAGCTTAGACTGAGGTGAGATTTTGTCCTCTTCCCACCGTCTCTATCATTTCGTTAACCTCACATCAAGCGGAACCCCCACCAACGGGACGGGCCGAATTGGATATGAAAATAGAAGCGACGCGTTCGTCAAGGGAAGGGGGGCGAGAGAGAGAGAGAAAAAGAAAGAAGAGAGAGAGAGAGACACAGAGAGGAAGAAAGAGAGAGAGAGGCGTCGTCTCCAGAGGAAGGTGGGCGAAAAAAACGGAAAAGCTCATTTTCTGCGGCCACCCCGGCGCCCGTCTGCATTGCAGATCCGCAAAAAGCCCTGGCCGACTCAGGAGCAGCTTTATGCTATCTGTGCCGTGGCTGTTCTTTTTTCCTCCCTTTTTTCCCCTCCTCATATATATTTTTTGGCCCCTCTTCTGGTCTCCATAAAATGTCAAGTTAATTTCCTGGGTGGTATGAGCTACACCTTGCCATGCACCATGTGTGTTTGTGTGTGTGTGTGTGTGTGTGTGAGGTTTGCGTGTACGCGTGCGCATGTGTATGTGTGTATG